TCGAGCTTAGGAGGCTGGAGTACGCCGAGAGCCGCAGGACTCTAAAAAGGCTCATTAAGCAATCCAAGAAGAAGTGTTTCCTGGAACTTTGCGACTCAGCTGAGCAGGACCCGTGGTGTTCAGCCTACAAAGTTGTAGTCAAAAAGATGGGCCAGGTAAAGCCCCTCGGCGCCGGAGAAGCTTCCCACATGAAGACGATCGTAGAGCACCTATTTCCAACAGTAACCTCAATTCCTCAGCGCGCGTACGCAGAACCTGCAGAGACATCACCGATCAGAATCCATCCGGATGAAATCAAGAAAGTTGCCAGGGATATGCCCGCAGAGAAAGCACCGGGTCCGGACGGAATTCCAGATACTGCTGTGAAGCTAGCCATGACCGAGCACCCAGAAGCTTTCGCAAAGGTCTTCAACCAGTGTCTTGCGGAAAACATCTTCCCGGAGCGGTGGAAGATTCAAAAGCTGGTTCTGCTACCTAAGGCGAACAAAGTACCTGAGGACCCGTCTTCATACACTCCACCAACTTGGCGCACCGGAGAGCTTGGTAGGCATTGTACAGTCCTACTTTACCGATCGCACCCTACTCTATGACACAAATAGAGGGGTGATGGAACACAAGATCACCTGTGGAGTTCCCCAAGGGTCTGTACTGGGACCGCTGCTCTGGAACGCCATGTATGATGGCGTCTTAAGACTGGCGTTACCAGGAAGATCGAAGTGATAGGCTTTGCGGACGATATAGCCATCGTTATTGTGGCCAAAACACTGCAAGACGCAGAGCGTCTTGGAAACGATGCAGTGGCAATCATATCCGGCGAAGCAAAGCCACCACAGGGTTATAAGGAATAAACCAACTCACAGCTATATCTATTCACCCTACTTTATCTCTATTACCTCTCCCCTAATCTTTGTAAGTACCATATTCAATAAAACCAAATGATATAAAAAAAAAAAAAAAAAAAAAACACACGTTACATATGTTCATTCTCTCGCTGATCTCTGAATAAAGTCAGTCTGTACCAAGCAATCACCGAGAACGCTTCTGCTCAAACACAACATTATTGGCGACGAGGAAAAAAAGAAGAATCTCAGACACAAGAATATATCGTTTTTGGGTAAATCGTAAAGCAGCCGCAGGAATACAACATTTTTGTGTAATATACATCCAGCTCATATATGTACATATCGCTCTTTGTAATCTCAAACTTGAACATTAAAATCAGTGCAAATTTGAGATCGAAACAACTCGGACGTTTTACTCTGATAACTCTGTATTTCGGCAGAGTCCGCACAAATACTTTGAAGAATAAAAATGTAACAAATTAAAAAAAAGGTGTATATTCCCTTTCAGATATTGCCAAGATTAATATTATTTAAAACATCTAAATTTCGATTTATATGCGTGTATGTAGCTCAATTATAATTGTGGAACTTCAACACATTACATAAACTAAAATTTCAAAATATGTTTATGTTCAAAAAATTTGTTTAAACAAGAAAGAAAGCAAACTTCGGCAAGCCGAAGTTCCGATACCCTTGCAGCTATTGCAAGAATTAAATATTTTTAAAAACATTAAAATTATGATTTACTTGCGTATATGTTTAAAAACTTAATTATTAGATAGTTAACTCAATTATTAGATAGTTATTTTATATATTTGTATTATTTCTATGGGAGCTATGTGATATAGTCGTCCGATTTTGATGAAATTTAAACCGTAATTCTAAAATATTTATTCATTACTTAATGTCGAAGAACTAAAAAAAAAATAAAAAACAGCAAAGATATAATTTTGTTTGTATTTTTTTCCGATTGTTCCTATGGAAGCTATATGATATAGTCGTCCGATTTTGATGAAATTTAAATCGTAATTCTGAAGTATTTAACCATACTATATTTTAAAGAACTAAAAAAAAATTAAAAACCATCAAAGTTACAATTTTGTTTATTTATTTTTAGCTATAGTCGTTCGATCCGGCTCGTTCCGATTTATATACTACCTGGGAAAGTTTCATGCAAATAGCTTTAAAACTGAGAGACTAGTTTGCGTAGAAACGGACGGACAGACGGACATGGCTAGATCGACTCGCCTAGTGATGCTGTTCAAGAAAATATATACTGTATAGGGTCGGAGATGTCTCCGACTAAATTTATAATACCCTCTGCAATGGTATAAAAATTAATTCGACAAACGTATGATACCAAAAAAAACAAGAAAACTATGGGAGCTATATGCTATAGACGTCCGATTTTAATGAAATTTAAACGGTAATTCTGAAATATTTAACCATTACTATATCTCGAAGAACTAACAAAAAAATTAAAAAACACCAAAGTAATAATTTGTTTAAATTTATTTTTCCGATTGTTCCTATGGGAGCTATATGCTATAGTCATCCGATCCGGCTCGTTCCGACCTATGTACTACCTGCAACAAAAAGACAATTTCATGCAGATACCTTTAAGGTGCTATATCACGAAAGCATAGGCAATTTTTTGAATTTGTTTTTAAAGAAAGTAAATATCATAATAGAAGGTTTTAAAAATTGTTTAGCACATAATAAGGCAAGTATTTAACTTGGTTGAAGGTTTTTGTTTAACAAAAATATTTAGAAATAACGGGACTATAGGCTGTCTGCAGAGGCTCTAGCAAAAAAAAATACTCCCACTGCTTACATGATTCCGGTAGTGAGTAGCTCAACTCGATCTTTAAAAATTACCAAGTATTAACAAAATGGCAAATACTTAAATAAAAACCTTTTTTAAATTCTGCCAAATGGACAATTTTTAACCAGTCCAAAAGTTTATAGGTCAGTCGATAGGTAGAACCCATTTAAGAAATTAAATACCCGTACAGATGGACAGACGGACTTGGATAGATCAACTCTCCTAGTGATTATAATCAAGAACATTTATACTTTATAGGTTCGGATATTATAATACCCTCTGCAAGGGTATAAAAATCTTATACAGAATGGACTTTGTTTATTTTTATTTACTACAGGCAGACTACATTGAAGTGCTTCAACGGAGCCTTCTTCAGACGAAACTGAAGGATGGAATGCGAGAGTCTAGTTGGCTTAACCCTTAGCTGTCCAAAATTGTTAAATTGTTAAAAACAAAAAAAAAACATTTTTAAATTGTCTTTACTGGCCACTACACCTATTACGAAAGTTAGCTGTTTAACTGGAATTGAGGCCGAAGAAAGAGAAACATCCAAACACGTCGAAATACTCCTAGATTCCATAAAGTTGGAGAAATTGCCAAGTGTCTCATGCAAGGGCAACAGAACTGGTCGAGTGGGACAACACTTCGTCAATTCATTTAGATCCGATGGGTTACGTTAAAGTCATTGCATCATCCTGGGGTCTAATAGCCTGATTCCATTGGCGTATTTATCATTTAGCTAATGCTACTCCGACATGTGAATGGCACGAACAGCTGATCTGAGTTTGTTTAGTTTAGAATTGTCGCAAATTAAAATTAATTAAACATCATGAATATCAGTGAGTTTACAGTGCTCAGCCGGATTACATAATGCTGTCAAGGCATTTGCCAACTTTAACGACATGGAAGGGTGTTTGTTTGACGAGTGTGCTAAGGAGACCACCACAATTTCTGAAAAAAAACAAAGATTCCCGTATATGTGCCAGAGATCTGCGTTTGGTCTCTTTTTAGTCATTTTTATGCACAATAGTTTTATTTTCAAAGAAATCCAAAATTGAGCCAACCTTGCATATAAAAGTCAGTTGGAAAGGAAATATAACATCTTAAATAATAGTTAAATTTTGAACATTTTTATGTCTACCGATAGATATGACGAAAACACACACACAGAGTCCAATAGCTACGGTCTAACATGGCTTAGGTGGGCGTTAGAGTGGGTGTGGCTCCGTTTTGAAATAAACTTGTGCTTTAGTTTTTATAGTTTTCGAGATATCGACGTTGATACGGACGGACAGACAGACGGACATGGCTAGATCGACTCGGCTATTGATCGTGATCAAGATTGTACATACATACTTTTATAGGGTCGAAAAAACTCCCTTCTACCTGTTACGTTCTTTTTATACCCTTGCAAAGGGTATTATAATTTTAGTCAGAAGTTTGCAACGCAGTAAAGGAGAAGTTTCCGACCCTATAAAATATATATATATATATATATATATATTCTTGGAAAGCATCACTAGGAGAGTCGATCTAGCCATGTCCGTTTGTCCGTCCGTCTGTTTCTACGCAAGCTAGTCTCTCAGTTTTAAAGCCATCTGCATGAAACTTTCCCAAAAGGTGTCTTTCTATGTCAGGTAATATATAAGTCGAAACATATAGCTCCCATAGGAACAATCAGAAAAATAAGTGAAAAAAATTATAACTTTGCTTTTATTTTTTGTTTTAGTTGTTCGACATATAGCAATGGTTAAATATTTCAGAATTACGGTTTAAATTTCATCAAAAGCGGGCCACTATATAATATAGCTCCTATGGAAACAATAAATTTATATAAAATTTTTTATTTTAAATTTGACTTTTCTATTTTGTAATTTTTTTTTAATTCTTTTTCAGAGTTCAGAATTACGCTTTTAATTTTATTAAAATCTGAAAACGATATCATATAGCTGCCATAGGAACTATCGAATAATTGAGCTGGACGTTTAATTTGATTTTATCCTTAATTTCTTATGTATTTTAATATCCTTGCAAGCAAATCACATATAGTTATTTTGTAATTTTAGGAACAAATTATATTTTATTAAAATCAATTTAAGTAAAAGTAAAAGTGAAAAAGTAATGTAAAAATTAATTTTATTTATACATCCGTTAAATCCTAAATCCTAAAGCCTAAAACACCCGAAATAGCTTTTGCAACTATAAAGGTGATTAATTCCTATCTGCCTATGCTTGTTGTTATGTCACAAAAGTTTTGTTAGAAAATTAATAAATGATGATTGTTTATGGCCTAGTAAATTTTATTTTTGATGTTACGTATATAACAGACTTACTTGTTCAAATGGCTTTGTCAATTCAGGATATCCAGCGGAAATCAACCATTCTGCTTCCATTTCCCCATCTTAAAATATTTTTATATTATTTAATTTTGCATTAATATATATTTTTATATACAAACCTTCGTAAATAACTTCGGGCTCATTGCTTTGTGAATTGGTTTGCAATAAATATTCGCTGAGAAACTCGGAATAATCCTGATCAGATGAATTATGAAGCTCTGAGTGGCTGTTCATTTTAGCTTCTTATATAATGAAACTATATAAAAAAACATATGGCACACTATGTTTTAATCATTTATATTTTGGTATATAAAGTAAATATGATGAAACGGTATCGTTTTAATTTGTATCCCAAAATGAAATTACCTCTGTAAAAGACAAAGTTTTTTAGAAGAGGTCGCAAAACAGATAAAAATATAAAAAAAAACACGCTTACGTCGAGTTTAACGTTATGGTAAAATTGACCACACTATTGAAAAAAGTTCTACTCCATTTCTCTCAATTCTTCTTAAAAATTCTGTTTTATCCCTTGCAACTTAAGAGCGTACTTCTCTTACTAAGCTTATTACTATTTCTTTGGATTTGTACTATCTGTACTTGCGATTCTATCCACTCAATACAGCAGTGGTTACACCGATTTTTACTTGTGGTTTTTATTAAATTTTTTTTTAATATGTATATTCAAAAAATTTGTATCCCAGATGAGTCTATATTGTGCTGCTTTCGCTAACTTGGTGCATTCTAGATGCGTTTAGTAAGTTCGCACAAGTTGCCAAATAGTCGACAAACAACTAGTTGGCCCTTGGGGGGTACTCTGGTCTAGAAATTTGACAAAACCGTTTTTTTCACGTTTTGAATATTTAGACTATTAAAAATAGATTTTTCAAAATTCGACTTTGTGACTTGCCGTCCGAGCCCTTATAAAAGTTTCCTACACTTTAAAAGCGTTCTTTTCGAAACTATTTTTTTTGAGTTGGTTGACGTAATATTTTAAGTTCTACTAAACCGATTCATTTGAAATTTGGTATATATCTAGTTTATACTACTCTCTTTCGATCTGTCTCGGACTTGAAAAAATGTTGATTAAAAGTATTTTTAAGATGTTCATAAAGGTCGAACAAATTGGTTAAAAAACGTTTTTTGTTTTTAAGTCGACGTCGTTTTGCTATTTAAAATTTTTTTTTGACAGTGGTCAACAAGGGCATTTTTTCTAATGAAGAATTTGTTTGACTTTTTTTCCGATCTCTGCAAGGGCTGAAATCATGTCAACCAGGACGCAGCGATTTTTTCCAAAACCTCACTCCAGCAGTCGGCAAATATTGAGTTTTATTTTTTTTTTGTATTCTTAAAATGTCAATAAAAATCATAAAAAAAACTGTATTTGTAAAATGTTTTTCGTTTCTTTTTTTTCTTACTTAAAATGCCTCAAATTCAGGATTGTAGACCAGAATACCCCCTCAATTGGATGTGTCCGAGCTGCAGGCACATAAAAGTCGACATGAAATCGTAAGGCAAACCTACTTGGAGTTCAAGCCCAATCATTTTGTGATCTTCACAATAAATTCAGTTCTGACTAATCCCACTTCAAGAACTTAAAAGTGTACAGTGCTGCCCAGCATCCGAAAAAAAATAATTGTTTTTTGTCTAACAACAACTTTATTGTTCCAAAGCGGTAACATCGATGGACTTAAATGAAACCTCTCCCTCCTTCACCACAGTTGTATAATCAAATGACTTCAACCCAGTTCCTCCGACCTCCTACATGACGGAGGTTCGTGGTGATTTGGATCCTTGCGTTGGTGAAATAGTTGATGCCGGCGACTGCATCTCAATTTCACCAACTGGCGGTACCAACTTGGCTCCAACTAAATGTTTCTCAACCTCGGCTGGTGAAGGACTTATTTCTGATGAGATTTCGCTGGCTTTACTAACTGGTTCCCCGGTGACGGCTCTGGTTGCTCTTCCTCGGCGTCCAACTATGGAACCATCTACTGGTCCTTAAAAAGTTTATTTTCTTTCCAGGCTGTTGGCTTCTGCAACTGAGATCGATGTGAACGATAACATATTGTCACGAGACTGTCCCTTCCTAAACCTACTGTTGCCGTCATCACCAAATTTAGCTTTCAACATAAAAGTTGTGTGTGCATGAGTACTTGAAAAAGATATCTTAACAGTAAATGGAACAATTATAAAAAACCGCATAATTCGTAAAAAAAAGTTCTAAAATACTTTTTATTTTTGTAAAGGTAAATGGAAAAAATATAAAAATACGCGTTTTTTGTTTAAATAATATTTTATTCATAATAATTTTATTATTTAAATTGTACCAATATCTTGGATTATAACGAATTGTTTAAAGACAAATAAAATTGTTAAACACAATTAAAATAACACTGCGAATCATTAAAACCTAAATCACACAACATTCAAAACAAGTGTTCTAAAAAGTGTAAACAAAAAAAAAGGCAAACCGCTGTTTTTGTTTCCGCCCGCTCCCCTAAAAAGCAATCGTCGGTAGGGTATGAAAGCTGATTCAGTTTGAAGTTTTCTCAACCACTTAAGAGCAGTCGGAGTCCTAAGTAACACCGACTACGATATGACCTGTCCCCATCTCAGTAGACTGATTTCTATTAATTCGAACACAAACATATATGGAAAACATATTACTGCTACTACTGATTTAAATTTTTAAACAAAAATAAAATGTATGCTGAAATATTAAAAAATATATTATAACATATAATATTCTTATTTTAAACATAAGCCCAATAGCAAATACTCTCATATTGTTAGGGCACCAACTATGAAAAGTAGCAAAAGACAAAATATTCTTGATGCGTTGAAATAAAATAAACTCACATATGCACCCGTGTATAAGAATGTATGACGCATACATACAAAGACCAATTCAAGCGCAGGGCATCCTTCTTCAAAATGCGCCTCTCTGCGATTGAACGACCGAACTCTTGCAATGAATGCGCGAGAATAAAAATGAGAATAAGAATGAGAGAGCAAAAAACAGGAAAGCACACGAAGCGCCGGGGTCTGCTGCTGAGAGCCCCTGGGTCCTGCCGCTAAGAAATTTTTGTGTCCATTTTCGTTGTATGAAGTGACCAGTCTATATGTTGTGTGGTTAGTGTTACTAATAATCTTCTTGACTTTACCTCATTAGTAAATCGTAGTTTTTAAATTAAATAAGTGATGTTATTTATACACATCATTTACACATTACAAAAGTTCTTGACTCGGTTAACCACCTAAGTATCCTTTGTTCAAATACTATCTCTAATGGGATTTTCTCCTAGATTGTTAATGTGGATACATTTAAATCTCTCGAATCGCTCTCAGAAAGAGGAATACAACGACATAACTCCAAAACCTTTATTATTTGGCTTGTCGATAAACGACCCACATAAAATTAATAAATACGAAACTGTTTCTATTTTTGCAAATTATGTTAAATGGCGAATGCCGATATCATTGCCTTATCCATTCCTCACCTTGATCATGTTGGTTAGATTTCGTTAAAAGACATTTTTTTGTTTACTCTAGCGGTTTTAACGCTGGCCTTCGTTTCCCATCCTATGTGTGTGCTAGCTAACTCTTGCTTGATTCGCCCACATTAAATCAATCGTAGAACCTGTCATGGTGTAATGCTCTTGATCAAACTAATTAATAGTGATGTTGAATCCTCCTCTCTTCTAAGTTCCCTAAACTGGAATGTACCATGCAGGACAATAGGTCGATAGGTAAAGATAAAAATAATTGTCTCAGCCATGTCTTGATGTGCAAAGTCTGCTCAGTGGTTTATTAAATTTGGCAATATAGAAATATATAAGAAAGTATTATCTGATTTCAATCAGTTAATATCTTAAGTAACAAAAAATAAGTAAATAAACAAGTAAATAAAATCTATTAACCGATTGGTTAATTAAAAATTAATTATGCTAAAAAATGTTAACATATCAGGGTTTTTTTTTTAATGCGTTCTTTCTGCTCGAGCTCCCCGACTATTAGATACCCGTTACTCAGTAAGCTGAAATCGGAATCTAGGTGGCGCCATCTGTTAAGAGCAGTTAACGGTTATTTCGTTCTGTCTCTCTACATCAGCGCTAAAATAATATCTGTTCAGTTTAGTGCTTGTTCCACTGGAATCGCACGTCAGCAAACATCTGATGGATCAACTATTCCAGAAACAGCAGAGGGATAGCGAAGGGGCAACATAGCGAGAGAATACCGAACGACAGAGAACGCACGCCGCCGACATAGTTTTTACACCCTGAAGTTTATGAATAATTAAATTTTCTTCAAATCTATTGTCTGCATTTGTAATCGACCAGGAATCCTTTTACAATGACCTCCTATTGAGCCCAATACAGGAAAAGACACAACTATACAATAACTACTAATAGATTTTTAAAAACTATTTAATTATTCGTACACCCATAACTTTCAACTTTAAAGTAAAAAGTACAAGCAAAATCAAAAAATGAGAGATTAACAATTAAGATATCTATATCAAAACAATTTTGATATAAATAAAAATATACAGTGATGGGGTTTGAACGGCTCAAGGTCTGTTCCCTTAAAGTGCATTCTTTGTTTAATAAAAAGACAGTTTTCTAATTATAGTCTTGCAGAGCGTTTTGTAATTTCGGTCAGAAATTTGCAACACAGTGAAGGCTATATTTCCGACCCTATAAAGTATACATATTCAATCGTAAGTCCAATGGAGTACAAGAAGTCAGAAGTTGTCAGTTGAGCATGAAGACGCCATTCTCTCAAGGCCAACTCAGTTGTTCAAAGTTCAGAAACTGAGTTCGGTCTCACATTGTTTAACCTACTACACATATATATTTATGCACAGAGTAAATATAACAGGTGTACTTTATTTTGCACACATATTACACACCATCTGAGAGGAGTTAATGAGTAGATCAAATATCACTATGGACGAAAGTATATGTAGTGACGATGCGCACCAAGAGCGTGTGCATAGGAGAGTACTACATATTATATAGCCGCCGAACTGAAATTCTGCTGTGATGGTCCGATCGTGACGACTAATACACCAATCGAAAGGTATAGCTAAATGAATAAGAATTGCACACCAAGACTTAAGGATAATTGATTGTTCGCGGAAAAAGGGGCAGTGAAAGTGACATACTAACAAGAAAGGAAGCAAACTTCGGCAAACCGAAGTTCATATACCCTTGCAGCTATTTCAAAAACTAAATATTCTTGAAAACATTAAAA